ACAAGAAGAGAGAAGTTAGAGAATTGCAAATAGAATTCCTCGAGCTACTGTTGGATTTTCCTGATCAGTGATGGTTTCAGATGATCAGGGAGACTTCCCGCTGCAAGAATTCGCCGATACTTGTCGCCGGCAACAAGGCCGACTTGGAACGAAAGCGAACTGTAACGAAGAGCGGTGGGTATTTTCGCGTACTTGATTTCTCGCTTTTTTCGTCGAATCTCCTTCGAGTGGTCAGATCCCAGAGCGATAGGTACGCTGCATCCATGCACATGATGCAAGGTTCAGAGTTAAAGAGCAGATTTCAGGATAAAAAGGCAGCCCATTGAAAATTTAGTTAGGGATGTCAGTGACAGCGATACATACAGACAGTGATACGAAAGAAGAAAAAGCCGGGGAAACGGCCAAGAACCCGAGAAATGGGACCCCTTCCTTGCCCTTGATTTGCGCATTGATGCGACTCTCATCGGTGCTGCCCTCTTCAACGCTAACGCTCTCTCTGCTGAACGGCTAGAGACTCAGACACGAGACGACGCGAGAGGGGCGTACCGCGCCAATGATGAGCCGAGGAGAAGGCTATACAGATCGTCAGGGGCATATCCTTCGATGCGTGCGTGTTGTTCCATACAGTGAAGAGGTCCGCCTGTCTCTCCACTTGGTAAGTTTACCCCTCTTCAAACATTCGTCCTTAGGGGAACTCTCCTTTGAAGAGCTGCTACAGCAATGGGCGATCAGCAGTCATCAGCGATTGACTTTTCCAAAATTGTTCTCAAGCTGTGTGCTGGTATGTCAAGTCAGCACCCCTCCTCGACTGCGGTCGGGAAATTCACATAGTACATGTATTACAGGGGTCTGAAAGCTGATGGAGACTCATATAAAAACCCTTCGTTCGGTGTGTCATCCATTCGTACACCATTCGTGGGAACTTTCCAGTCTATTGGCAACTCCTTAAATTGGAAGACCGAAGAGAAATTAGCCTGGACCCAGAAAACTGCGAAAGCTCGCTGTCGAACGCGCCAATCCACTTCGCAAACACCCAATTTGTACCATTATAGTTTTGGAGTCAGTTGTTATTACAGCACTTTGACGTGAATTCGAAAAGTTTGGCACTATTTACCCTTTACTGCCCCACTCCTCAAGAACTGAGCCGGATTTTGATCGAAATTCGTCCATGACTGTGGATTTGGCTAGAAACTTGTTTCAGGGGTATTTGACCCGTAGAACACGAATATCACACCGGTTTAGCGCGAAACGCTTGGCGCCCGCGCCACAGGCGCCGGCGCTATCACAACAGTTTTGCGCGGGCGCCGTAGCGCAGGCTACAGGCTCACTCGCAACGAACTAATGTGATATTCATGTTCTACGGGTCAAAGTACCTCTGAAGACAAGTTTCCAGCGAATTTGGTGATCCGAGATGTTCTGGCGCCTTTTGGCGCCGGCGCTTCTGGCGCGAGCGCCAGGCGTTCTAGCGGTAAACGAATGTGATATTCGTGTTCTACGGGTCGAATTACCCCTGAAGGCAAGTTTCTAGCCAAATCCACAGTCATGGACAAATTTCGATAAAAACCCGGCTCAGTTCTCGAGGAGTGGGGCAGTAAAGGGTAAATAGTGCCAAAAGTTTTCCTCAAACTTCACTCATACACACAAAGTTTCCCATCCCTGCTCCTTGGTTGAGGTCGAATTGGAGTTCCGGAAAAGAGCGGAGCCGAGGGAGCTAGGATGAATGAGCACTCTCTCAAGCAGTAGAAGGGCGGGTTGTCCCACAGTCCTATTTTTTGGGGTTGAGGTTAGGATTCAAAAAATACACTCTCATTGCTAGACACGTTCTTAATCTTTTTCACGTCATAATTTATCCGAAGATATAGCCTAAACGCCTTCTCACTTTCACTCCGCTCTTACAAATTAGTTCTTTTTCTTCAACAAAGTAGTTCTTTTCCTTTTTTGGTTTCTCCGGTCGCTACTAAGATAGTCCTTTTCGTAGAAACTGAATCCGACTCCGAATCTATTCGCATAAGCACCTGCACCGTATTTGGTCTGTAGATCAATATTTGGAGGCCGATCAACCGATATTTTATCCTCCCAAAAGTGTTTAAAAAGTTGTGGGTTAGAGAACAGTTATGGTTTGTTCCTCTCTTCCTGACAATGAATCAGTGAATTGCTTGATCAGCGCGGCTGAATTTGACCCTGGCTTCGACAATTGGCCCTTGTGCGTGGTACTATGTGAATTGTAATTTTGAATTGCCTACCTATCAGCTGATCTATTTAGAAGTCCGAGCAGCAGCCGCTC